GTTAGGCGTCCGACTTTCGCTTAGGTCATGATCTCGCGGTTCGTGGGTTCGAGCCCCGCGTCGGGCTCTGTGCTGACTGCCAGCACAGAGCCTGGAGCCTGTTTCAGTCTGTGACTCCCTCTCTCTCTGACCCTTCCCTGCTCACGCTGTCTCTCTCTCTCTCCTAGAAATAAATAAAACATTAAAAAAAATAAAAGCAGTCCTGTTTTTTAGATTATAAGGAGAATACATGAACAAATAGTGTGATTTAATGTTATAAAGCCGTGTGATTTTTTTTTTTTATTATTATCTTCATTATTTTTTCATTAGGTACTTGTATAAATCCATCAAATAGTTTCTAAGCCTTTCTTGTATCATTCCAGCTTCAAAGATTGGATAGGAAAAAAAAAAGATCGGGTGGGCGTGGTATTGTGGAGCCATCAGATGGAATATGGCATAGGGAACTTAACCTGGATAAGAATAGTCCAAGTATAAGCATCTCACGAACCTCAAGGATAAATAAAACCTGCTCTCAAGGTCACTGACTATTCTCTGTGATAGAACCATGGGCTCCAACATGAAATATATATAATAACTTCTCAGCTAATTGAGGATTATGTGTTTTCATTCGAGCACTCTGGGGGGACCTTGAGGAACCTAGATGTGAGCAGTATAAGAAAATCTGTACATATTCTAAAATTTTAGTCAACACAAAATGTGGAAACCTTAACAAATGTGTAAGAAGAAAGCTCTTAAGGGAACATTGCATAAGAATTTTTTAAAACTAATTTATATAATATCTTTAAAAATGAACCCCTCCTACATCAAGATAGACAGCGTTCTAAAGACTTTGATAAAAAACCACTATATGTTTCTAATCACAGAAATGAAAAACCATTTTATTATAACAGATCTTAAGAAGCATACAGCTGAAGAAAATCCTGACAAAAGCACTCTAGAAAAAGCGATTGGATCACTAAAGGAAGTAATGACGTAAGTGCATTATTTCAATTTCTTATTGTTGCCTGGATTAAAATAGCATTGAGCAATTAAGAGTCCTAAATGGAGAGAAAAATATCAATAGTAAATTTTTATAAAGTGATACCTAAATTATTTTTCTAATAGTGTAGTTACATATTAAAATGATGAGAGTAAAGTATTGTAAGAATACAGTGATTAATCAAAAACATTTATTTCTGAACGTATTAAACTATTATACATAGAAAGTAACAATGATTTAGAAATTTGGTAATGTTATAAATGCACTTCTGGACATTTTCTTCATATAAGTCCAGTCATAGCTTGTTCTTGTCTTCATTTAAACTACCAAATGTAACTCAGGAAGTTGACTATGGTAAAATAAAAGTAAACATTTACAATACTTCTTTCACCTTTACTTTGGCTTTTCGTTTCTTACCTTGAATTTAATGGAATATAAATTGATGGGGTTGGTTGGAGATGCATTAAAAGTGTAAACTCCAGGGGCGCCTGGGTGGCTTAGTCGGTTAAGCGTCCGACTTTCGCTTGGGTCATGATCTCATGGTTCGTGGGTTCGAGCCCCGCGTCGGGCTCTGTGCTGACTGCCAGTTCAGAGCCTGGAGCCTGTTTCAGTCTGTGACTCCCTCTCTCTCTGACCCTCCCCTGCTCACGCTGTCTCTCTCTCTCTCTCCTAAAAATAAATAAAACATTAAAAAAAAAATAAAAAAAAAAATAAAAGTGTAAACTCCAGGGAATTGACTTGGGTACTTGATTGTTAAACTTAACGGTAATTACTCTAGGTCTAACTTGGAGACCCAGCTCTAATCAGAAATGATCTTTCTTGATTATTATAATCAGAAATGAAAACTGTTGCTATTAATTGTTCTGGGTCATGGAGGGCAAGGGCACGTCAACTCTTTGGACTTTATGTTATCAACGTGTTTAATAGATTAGTGAAATGACTTCTGAGATTCCCTGAGGTGCTTCTTATGAAACAGAGTTTCTTAAAATACTTGCTATGGAGTTCTTAGAGACTTTGCTAGTTCTAGAGAGAGGGCCCAGCAGTAGAATAATGTTCAAATCCGTGAACACCAGCTCTGTTGCTGCCAAAACGGTTGTGTAATTTTTTAAATTCTATTTACATTTTATATGTTGATCAGCCAATCTTCATGCTTTTGCTTTGTTATTTTGAGGTCAGGATAATAGGGTTTTTTTCCCCCCAAACTTCATGGTTTAACATACTCTGCACATAATTGTATCCTTTCAACAAATTCTATGAAGTAGGCAGTCAACACCTTCTATTTTCACGAAAGAGAAAGCTGAAGGGGTTATTATTTGCCCAATTTATTTGTGTGGAATACTTCCACTGATACTTGATGGTATCTTATAGTATTTGTTATTTTTGTATAATATGTTTTATAAACAAAGATTATAAAGTAGCCTAAATAGTGAATGGTCATTTGACCTGTTGTCTTTCTTAGAATAGTATCAGTTGGCTACTACAGGGATAATGAGCCTTACTGATAAGACAAGTGATTAAAGATTTCTTTCTTTTTCAACATTACTTAAGTTTCTGAGACAGAATCTTGTCTAATATATCCTTATCCTAAATGCTGTGCTCATAATAAGTTTTCAATAAATGTTGAATTATAGGAGCTGTCATTTTATTTTTTATTTATTTTTTTACAAATAGTTTGTCAAATTAGATTCCACATAACACCCAGTGCTCATCCCCACAAGTGCCCTCCTCCATGCCCATCCCCCTTCCCCCCCACATCCATCAGTCCTCAGTTTTTGTCAGCATTCAAGAGTCTCTCATGGTTTGCCTCTTTCCCTTTCCCCCACCATTTCCCCTCTTCTTCTCCCCCTTGTTCCTCAGTTAAGTTCCTCCTAATCCTCCTATACGTGCAAACATATGATATTTGTCCTTCTCTGCCTGACTTATTTCGCTCAGCATAACAAGGAGCTGTCATTTTTAATGTTGAATTATGATGCTGATTTATAAACTTGATAACAGTTTGACCATGTCTCAGTTCTTGATATTTTTGAATATTTAGCTTAGGGATTAAATGCTTATTGTAGTTGACTGAAACAACCATAGTTTTTCATGTAAAGGAAATAAAGAAATAGTGCCACTTAACTAGTCTTTGCCATTTAAGCAAACCAAAAAACCCTAAAATTAGATTCTTACAATAGTAGTTACATATGCTTAGCTTATATAGATTAATTTGTTATAGATATATGCTCTAGTTGCTTCAGTATGTATATATATATTTTTTTGTTTGTTTGTTTTTAGAAACTTTATATGTTTCAAATATACTTTGATTAATTTTGGTATATAAACACTCCCACAGAACCATCACTACCATCAGGATAAGGAACATTGCTATCACTTCCAAAAATTTATTGATGCCTTTTGGTAATCCCTTTTCCTGCCTCTCCTAGTCCTTCCCATCCTAGGGCAACAACTGCTATTCCTTTTATTTGTATAATTAGCATTTTCTAGGATTTTATCTAAATAGAATCAGACAGTATGTTGTGTTTTGTCAGTCTTTTTTTTCACTCAGCTGATTATTTTGAGATTCATCCTTCTGTTGTTTTTATCAGTATTGCATCCCCTATTATTGTTTGCCATTGTATGGTTGTACCACAAGTGATTGATCCATTCATGTGTTGGACATTTTGATTGTTTCTCCAGGTCTGGCTCTTAGAAATAAAGCTACTATGAACATTTGTGAACTAGTCTTTGTTTGAACATATGCTTTTCTCTTGGATAAATACCTGGTGGTAGGAATGGCTAGGTCGTATAGTAGGTAATACGTATAACTTAAAAAAAATTGTCAAACTGTTTCCAAAGTAGTTGTACTATTTCACATTCCTACCAACAGTAAATGGTGAGTTTCAGTGTTTCCATGGCCTTACCAACTTTCAGATGGTTAGCTATTTTAATTTGTGAAATTTAGTAGTTGTGTAGTGATACTCATTGTAGTTTTGACTTGTGTTTTCCTTAATGATAAAATGATGAGTATTTTGTCATGTGCTTATTTGCCATCCATATCATCTTCTTTGGTGATATGCATGTTCAAATCTTTTGTCTGTTGTTGTTGTTGTTTTTTTAAATTGTGTTGTTTTCTTACTATTGAGTTTTGAGAGTTCTTTATTCTGGTTAAAAGTCTTTTGTCAGATATATGATTTGCGAGTATTTTCTTGGAGTTTGTGGTTTCTTTTTTCTCTTAACAATTTCTTTCAAAAAACAGGAGTTCTAGATTTTTATGAAGTCCCATTTTTCAATTATTTTTTTATGGGTAGTACTTTTATCTAAAAAACACTTTTGGTCAAACCCAAGGTCACAAAGATTTTTTCCTGTTTTCCTCAAGACATTTTGTGGTTTTAGTCATTAGGTAAAAATTGTTTAGGTCTATGATCCGTTTTGGGTTAACTTTTGTATGAGGAGCAAGGTTTGGATTGATGTTTATATTTGTATATGGAGCTCCCTTCTAGTACTATTTGTTGAAAAGACCATCCTTTCTACACTGAATTTCTTATGCTTCTTTATTGAAAATCAATTGACCATAAATGTGAGGGCTTATTTCTGGACTACTCTTAATTCTTTTTCATTGATCTTTATGACTATGATTATTCTAGTACTATACAGTCCTGATTACTGTGCTTTGTATATTAAGTTTTAAAATGGGGAAATTTGAGTCTGTCAACTTTATTCTTCCTTTTCAAGATTGTTTTGACCATTCTGGGTCCCTTGAATTTGTATTTGACTTTTAGAATCAGCTTGTCAATTTCTGGGTGGGGGAAGAGATAATGGGGGGAATTTGATAAGCATTTTATTGAATCTGTATATCTATTTGGGAAATAACAATATTAGGTCTTCTGATCCATGAATGTTTATTTCTATTCATTTATTTCTTTAATTTCTTTCAACAATGTTTTATGGTTTTCAGAGTAAAAAAAAATCATAATTCTATTAAATTTATTCCTAAGTATTTTATTCCTGTTGATGTTTTAGTAAGTGGAATCACTTTCTTAATTTTGTTGTTGGATTGTATAATGTATAGAAAGGGAGTAGAATTTTATATGTTTATCTTGTGCTCTGCAACATTGCTGAATGTATTTTAGTCCTAATAATTTTTTAGTGGATTCCTTAAGATTTTCTGTAAACAAGTCATGTCATATTCAAATAGAGATAGTTTTATTTCTTCCTTTCCAATCTGGATGCCTTTTATTTCATTTTTTTTTTTTTGACTAATTGCCCTGGCCAGAAACTCCACTACAATGTTAAGCAGAAGTGATGAGAGCGAACATTTTGTATTTGGCCTGTTAATGATTTTAGGGGGAAAGTATTCAGTTTTTCACTACCATGGTGGTAGCTTTCAGACTTTTCTAGATTCCTTGTACCAGATCAAGGAAGTCCTCATTTATTTCTAGTTTGTTGAGTGTTTTTATCATAAAAGGACATTGGATTTTGTCAAGTGCTTTTTCTATTTGAGTGATCATGAAGTGTTTGTCTTTATTCTAATGGTGTGGTTTGTTGATTTTTGCATGTTTACTCAAGCTTGGATTCCTGGGATAAAAATCTTCACTGTGGTGCATAATCTTTTTTAAATGTTGTTGGAGTTGGCTTGATAGTATTTTGTTGAGGATTTTGGTGTCTGTATTCCTAAGGGATATTGGTCTACAATTTTCTAGTGGTGTCTTCTGGTTTTGGTATCAGGCTAATATTGGTCTTAACGAACACATTGGAAAATGTTTCCTCCTCTTCTGTTTTTTTGGAAGAACTTGGAAAGAACTGGTATTAAGTCTGTAGGTGTTTGGTAGAATTCATCAATGAAGTCACTTGGGTTTAAGAATCACTACTTGAATTTATTATTTTAGATCTATTCAGACTTATTATTTCTTCTCGAGTCAGTTTCTATAGTTTGTTTCTTTGTAGGAATAATTTCCCTATGATTTCTTCTTGACCTAGTTATTTAGGGGTGTGCTCTGTTTAATTCCTACATATTTGTGAATTTCCAAAGTTTCCTTTTGTTATTTCTAATTTTACTCCATTGTTGTGGGAGAAGATGCTTTGAATTATTTCAGTCCTCTCAGAATTTTTGAGGCCTGTTTTATGGCCTACCCTGGAAAATGGTCCATATACACTAGAGAAGAATGTGTATTTTACTGTTGTTGAGTAGAGTATTTCTGTCATTTTACTTTCAGCCTATTTATGTCTTTGAATCTAAAACTGATCTCTTATAGGCAGCATATAGTTAGATGGGCTTGCCTTATTTGTCTCTTGTCGTATAGGAATTGACTTCTCAGTGTCTTAATGACCCTTCTTTCTTTATATTTTGATGGTTTTTAGTTGCTTCAGAAAGAAAGTGTATCCTTTCCTTCTTATTTCATCTTGTATGGAAGTAGCAGTCTTAGTTTTTGTTTGACTGAAATGATTAACATATGACTTGGGAATGAGCTACTAGCATAAAACCTTAACTTTTAGAACTTCTGTAACCTTGAAGTTGTACTGGTTTAATGTATTTTAGGAAATGCATAGTGAGTATAGTAAAAAAAAGAATATAGAAAGAAGTTAGTAGAACACAATTTTCCGATGGATTCTATAGAATTTTTTTAATATAGTAGGATACTTTTAGGAAGTATTTTAACTGACTCAGTTGTCAAAATTAAGATAGACTTACATGGAAGATCTTTTTTTGTGACATGAGATACCTTTGAATGCAGTTTTAATATTTTAATTGTTTGAAAAGTTGAAGTTCTAAAACTAAATTTATTAATTTTTCAGCCATATTAATGAGGATAAGAGAAAAACAGAAGCCCAAAAGCAAATATTTGATGTTGTTTATGAAGTAGATGGATGCCCAGTAAGTATTCATTTTTGATATTTGTCAATTTATCTTCTTTTTTGTTACTTAGATTCTATAGTTTTAATATAAACAGAATCTAAAAGATTACTACCAAGTGATCTCTTTTACTGATATTTTCAATCTATACAGGCTAATCTTTTGTCTTCTCACCGAAGCTTAGTCCAGCGAGTTGAAACAATTTCTCTAGGTGAACATCCCTGTGATAGAGGAGAGCAAGTGACTCTCTTTCTCTTCAACGATTGCCTGGAGGTAAATTTGTACTTAATACAGTATAATAACACTGCTGATCTGTGTGACTTGCCTGAATGTTTAAAGCCAAGCTTTGATTGAATTAAAATGTAGAAGTTAAAGTTAACTTAAATAATCACATTTTTTAAAATTGAGTCCAGTTGTTGGTTCAGTAGTATTAATAGAATGCTTTTAGGAGAAGGCCTAAATACTAAGAAGTATGATAAATTTTCATGACTTAAATCCAAGTCAAGATGAAAATTTAATTTATTTCCATGCTAATAAATGTTTAGGTCAAGAATTTTTTAAACTTACTGTCTCTATTAAGTATGTTTATATAAGATCTACAAAATAATTTGAAATTGAAGTAGATTTTTCAAGCAAAAAAGGAACCAATATTTTGTTGAAGAGTAATAACTTGATTATTGACTATTAAGAATATGATCCCCTAATGATTCCTTAAGACAACAGATTTTTGAGTGAATGAGTGGTTAGTATATCAGTGATCAGGCTACAGTGATTATAATTCTAAAATTCTCATATATTAAAAATTTTCTTTAAAGTCTATACCTCTTCCTTTTATCCTTTTCTACTACTCTTGAAGTATTGCCCTCTTATATACATTATTAGTTAAAGTATAAAATACAAAGGAATCTTAGCGAGCCAACCATATACAGCTATAGGCATAATAAAATCTCATCAAAAATTGACTTGTGTAGGGGTGTCTCGGTGGCTCAGTCAGTTAAGTGTCCGACTACGGCTCAGGTCATGATCTCATGGTTAGTGAGTTCAAGCCCTGCATCAGGCTCTGTGCTGACAGCCCAGAGCCTGGAGCCTGCTTCAGATTCTGTGTCTTCCTCCCTATCTCTCCTCTTCCACTTGTACTCTGTGTCTCTTTCTCAAAAATAAACAAACATTAAAAAATAAAAATAAAAAATTGTGTAAAATGCATTTTCTTGTAGCGAGGTTAATGAAAAACTGTATTTTAATTTGGTCAGTAATGTCACAAAATACAAAAGACACTGAAAATACTATACATAGTTGACCATACCCTAACTGAAAAAGTCAGGAGGCAGATAATTCTGAACTACTTGTTTCCTCCATAAGGAGAACTTCAGCCTGCTTTCTTTGGCGAACAGGGGCTAGGTGAAGTCAGTTTCCAGTGGGGTTTTACTTTACATAGTTGCTCAGTACTTCTACTTGTTTGCTTTTGCTTCTCTTTCTATTGAAGTGCTCAGGTCAACTGGGTCCATTCATCTTATAGGTTAGGTTGCTAATCCATCCTGGGTTTTATCCTCTTAATCCTGAGAGAGTTGTAGCTTACTTTAAATTTTTGATCTTACATCTTCATCAGATTCCATGAAGTTTTCTATAACTAGTTCATTGATTTACCTGCCACTTTAATTTCTGTCATTGGTTATTCCCCATAGCTTTTGAGTGCATTATGTGATACCCTGGTTCCTCATTTCCTTTACCTTCTTAAATCCACTGACTTTTGTCCTAGTTTTTCTTAAGCCTCCCTAACTCAGAATCACATTAATTGAAATAGCTCTATGTCTATTATTAAATTTGGACTTCAAGACTTATAATCCTAAACTTCTATTCTTTAGCTTATTAAAAAAAAAAATACCTTAGCAAATTTTGAGTGAAGAAAATGATAAAAGTTAGAAACATTTAAAATGGATAAAATCTATACTGACTTCTCTTAAACAGGACAGATGATATTTTACCAAATCTAAACTGAGGATTTATAGACATATTTTCCTTTTTATATTTCATCTGTGTTTGAGTTTTTACCTTGATGTGCTAACAGTTGTGTCATCAATATTGGCACTTGTCATTGTTTTACCTTTTTAAAAATAAACTTAAAATTATTTGCTTTGCTCAGCCAAATTGATTTAAAAGTATATTCAAATTTACAGTAGAAATTATTTCACCTTTATTGCCTATTTTTACTATACTCATAAATTAACATTTAATATTTGATATGTAACATATATTTGAGTCATATTTATGCTTCATTGTGAATATGATATTGACTGCCTTTTGATTTTTTTCTGATAGCCAACACAGGGTAATGCGTTTTTAGCCATATTTTGTCATATTCATGATGATGACCAATCTCAATTCATCAAGTAACTTATCCCAAATCATTTTGTGTTAATGTGTTTTAGCTGATGATTATAACCTCAAAAGAGACGTTCTTTTAAAAAGGCAAAATAATACATTAGACTTTCATGAAATAAGTATAATAAATTTAAAGACCCTATAAAATTCACAGAATTCAATACCTCATGAATCACAAGGTCCTTTCTGATTTTGCTTCAGTTACTTTACCTACTTCCTCCTTTTGCAGGAGTTCCCAGCTTAGGTCAAGTTATATCTTAACAATGCATCTTGAGTCATTTGTTTAATGTTACTTACTTTTTTACCCTATCGCTTTCTCAATGGTATGTAAATATCATGATGCCAGAACCATTTCTATATTATTCACTCTTTTGTCCTCAGAGCCCTATACAGGATTTGAGATAATTGTGAATTCTGCTCTTCAACTAAAATCAGTTATCTTTTGAACCCAACACTGAGCTCCCAGAGCAGCTTTTCCATTTCTTGATTGAATTCAAGGCCTTTTACTGAAGATTCCTCTATCCTAAGATGTTATTCCTTCTCAAAATGCTTCTAAGTTCTTTCACATCTTTCAGACCCTTTGCTTAGGTCCTGTCCCTTGGTCTGTTTTCCTGACTTTTTAGCTCTTCTTATATATGCATGAACATTTCTGCTATACAATTACATGTATGAATTGGTTACATGGTAACTCTGCTTCTTATTGCATAGTAATTCTGGGATGATTAATAGTCAAATGAATTGCACGTAGATTTATGTGATTAGTGTCGTTTTAAGTATTTAGTCTTTGTTTTCATTCATATCATTATTATTTTTTTCCTGTAATCAGATAGCAAGAAAACGACATAAGGTGATTGGCACTTTTAGGAGTCCTCATGGCCATACCCGACCCCCAGCTTCTCTTAAGCATATTCATCTAATGCCTCTTTCTCAAATTAAGAAAGTGCTGGACATAAGAGAAACAGAAGGTATGCTCATTGGATAAATGTTGGCTAAATGAAAATAGTTTATATTCATTGTTGATTTGATTCACTCTCTTATGTTTTTTTTTTTCCTTAAAACTAGTAAATTATCTTTAAATATTGTTGGTTAGTTTTGGTAAAGTAATTTTTCTTAAATTTCTATCCCAAATCTTCTCTAAGAACATACTTGATGTTTTATTTTCCTCAAATGAAAATGCTATCTCATTATGTGGGATATCTTCATCCCTTAAGGAACAAAGAGCTTTTAAATGGTTACATATCAAGGTAGTACACTAACCTAGCCTCTTCGCACATCAGAATTTATTTTGTTCCTTCAGAATGCAAAAGAAATCACCAGTCTATTACACTGTGCTCTGCATCTTATTTCTTTCTTGTTGGCAATGACGGCATTGCTAGAAATATGTTTAGAATATGACCGGAAGACATGTGCATGAATAAGTATACCCAAAGTAACTCTGGTAGACTCAACATGGGTCCCGTGTGTATTAAGGATAGCTTTTATGCAACTTTGTTTAGTGCTAGGGAGAGTTCTCTGAAGGCCTGAAATTATAAAAAACAGTATCATCTGTTTATTTAATTGGCATTTAGTAATGTGTGTGCATGGCCGTATTTTAGATGTTAGACATGTTTTTACAAGTAACCTGGTTCCATTACTGATTCATCCTCTAATGATGGAAGGATTTGAGATTATGAGAAACAAATTAAACAAATAACAATTTATTTTGTTGTGTTTATTTGGTTGTCAGATTCTGGTTGTATTAAGGGTTACCATAGTGCATTTATTTAAATCATCTCCATGTTTTTGGATTTGAATTATGGATTATTATTTAAAATAGGTTCTGTTTTAGTGTTTTGGTCCAAAAACATTTTGTAACAGTTTTAATATTTGGACATTTTATTTCTTCCAACTGATTTAAGTTATCAAATTAGTCTTATAATGCCATTTTAATTTAAAATTTAAGTTCTGGAATTCTAACAAATGATCTAATTCAAAACAACTTTCTCAGAAAGAAATTCCATAGAAAATACTGCTTACTTAATGTCAATAGATCATCATTGTTGGTTTTTCACTTGGTACTTACTATTATAATTTTTATAAATGTTTCAGTGTGATATGATGTTCTTTATCTAGTTAAAAATACAAGGGATGGAAAGGGTGGGGAAGAGATAATTTCATTGGAATTTTGTTGTTCTGAGGGAACTAAACTTGCAAAAATCTATCATTTTCCAAGGAGTAACACTTAATGTTTATGATTATTCTGGAACCCTAGATTGCCATAATGCTTTTGCCTTGCTTGTGAGGCCACCAACAGAGAGGGCAAATGTATTGCTCAGTTTCCAGATGACATCAGAGGAACTTCCAAAAGAGAACTGGCTAAAGATGCTGTGTCGACATGTAGCCAATACCATATGTAAAGCAGATGCTGTAAGTTTTTAAACCACTATTATAATGAAAGGTTTAACTTCATTGCAGTACATTCAGACTAACCCTGTATATTTCTAATGACTTGGTCATAATTATGAAATTATGAGTGTAAGAAAGTTCTAGTTTATGTGTATTGAGGAAAACTGGTTTAATAAGTTGTTTTGGAAAATAATTTTATAAGTTATAGGCACATGAGGGGCACCTGAGTGGCTCAGTTGGTTAAGCGTCTGACTTTGGCGCAGTTCATGATCTTGTGGTTAGTTGAGTTTGAGCCTCTCATCAGACTCTACTGACAGCTCAGCCTGTAGCCTACTTCAGATTCTGTGTCTCCCTCTCTCTCTCTCTCTCTGCCTTTCCCTCACTTGTGCTGTGTCTCTGTCTCTCTCAAAGATAAATAAGCATTAAAAAAATTTTTTTTCTAAGTTTAGACATAAGAGACATTTTGAGTACCTAGTTTACAGATAGGCCCTCAAAGTTCCTATGCCTCTGAGTTAGTGGGGCTTTTGGGACTTGTTCTGATATACCCTATGATTTTCGTTGGTGCTCTTTGACCTGGCTGTTTGTAAAATAGAGGGCATTTTGTTCTATTGTTCTTTTACCTTTGTTGAAAGCAATAGGTGAGTTGTAACAAGTTTTTTTTCTCTTAGGTAGGTTGCCAATCCAGTTTTCTCAGTCCACCTCTGAAAATCAAATACCCTATGAATATATAATTATCTTATACAGATTAAATGCAACTATATGAGAAAATAAAATTATTGAAGTTAAATGACTCACAAAAACCAGGTAGCCTATATAGTATATTGTGGATGAAATTTAGGTCCCTTTACAGATAACTTGATTTCTTCATTATATATGGGAGAGACATGTGATAGACAGGTATAGACCTTTTCATCTTTGGAGAAGTGACAGAGAAGAATGTAATGATAAGCAATCCTTTTCATTACAGTAGTACAATTGCCTTGGACATTCCTGTTGGAAATAAATGTTTATTTTATCATAGTTAAATCTGACCTTGAAGGCTATTGAGGTATAATTATAGTGGTTTATAGAATAGGTAGTATTTGATTAAAACCTACCTAGGTGTTGAGAACAACCAACAGACTTTTTGAATTATTTTTTTAAGCAGGAGATTTCAATTTCTCTTTTTCAGTTAGTGACATGACAGGGAAAACCAAGGAATAAAATCCTGAAATTGACAATTTTGTCCTAATTGTCATAGAATGCTTCATCCAGCATTTTTAAAAAATTTCTGTGGGCCAACAATATATTGTTATAAATAAAAGATTATTCCACCAAAAGTTTTACAGAAGGGAATAAATACATCTAGTGCATACAATAAATGCTGGCTAGAAAAATGATGGAGACAGATGTTGTTTTAAACCTACAAAAGTGCTTATTGTTAAGAGGGATTTTTTTCATAGTTCTAGGTATCCATATAAAAAACAGATCCTTGCAGTGTAGTGACTGCTTATTGTAGAAATTAATCCTACATTTATCATGATGTCAGACTAGATTGCTTATGCAGTCCTTTCCAAATTTATAACCATAATATGGAGGAGTAAACAGTTAATCGAAAAATTTCCTTAAAATACAATTTATTGAATTACTGGCCACAAGATGGCTAATAATTCTAAAACCGATATATAAACTGCTAGTGAAAAAAATTTCATATAATCTAGCCACAAGATGGCAGCAAACGTTTAACTATGTCCTGATTAAACAGTAATGGTGAGAGTGGACATACCTGTCTTGTTCCAGATCATAGTGGAAAAGCTGTCCGTTTTTCCCTATTGAGGATGATATTAGCTGTGGGTATTTCATACATAGCCTTTATAATGTTGAGGTATGTTCCATCTATCCCTACTTTGTTGAGGGTTTTTATTAAGAATGGTTGCTATATTTTGTCAAATACTTTTTCTGCATCTAGTGAGAGGATCATGTGGTTCTTCTCCTTTCTTTTATTAATGTGGTGTATCACGTTGATTGCTTTGAGAATATTGAACTAGCCCTGCAGCCCAGGAATAAATCCCAGTTACTTGTGGTGAATAATTCTTTTCATATACTGTTGGATTTGATTTGCAGTATCTTGTTGAGAAGTTTTATATCCATGTTCATCAGGTATATTGGCCTGTAATTCTCCTTTTTGGTTTTGGAATCAAGGTAATGCTGACCTTATATAATGAGTTTGGAAGTTTTCCTTCCTTTTCTATTTTTTGGAATAGCTTGAGAAGCATAGGTATTAACTCTTCTTTAAATGTCTAGTAGAATTCACCTGGGAAGCCATCTGACCCTGTACTTTTGTTTGTTGGGAGGTTTTTGATTACTGATTCAATTTCTTTGCTGGTTATGGGTCTGTTCAGATTTTCTGTTTCTTCCTCTTTCAGTTTTGGTAGTTTGTGGGTTTCTAGGAATTTGTCCATTTCTTCCAGATTGCCCAGTTTGTTGGCATTTAATTTTTCACAGTATTCTCTTATAATTGTATTCCTGTGGTGTTAGTTGTGATCACTCCTCTTTCATTCATGATTTCATTTATTTTGGTCCTTTCTCTTTTCTTTTTGATAAGTCTGGCTAGGAGTTTATCAGTTTTATTAATTCTTTCACAGAACCAGCCCTAAGTTTCATTGATCTGCTCTATTAGGTTTTTTGTTTCTATATGATTTATTTCTGCTCTAAACATTATTATTTCCTTTCTCTGCTGGCTTTAGGCTTTATTTGCTGTTCCTCTTCCAGCTCCATTAGGTGTAAGGTTAGGGTGTGTATTTGAGACTTTCCTTGCTTTGTGAGGTAGGTCTGTATTTGTATATACTTCCCTCTTTGGACTGCTTTTGCTGTATTCCAAAGGTTTTAGACTGTTATGTTTTCATTTTCATTTGCTTTCATGTACTTTTTTAATTTCTTCTTTAATTTGCTGGTTAACCCATCCATTTTTTAGTAGGATGTTTTTTAACCCCCGTGTATTTGAGGGCTTTCCAAATTTTTCTTGTGGTTGACTTCAAGTTTCATAGTGCTATGATCTGAAAATATGCATAGTATGATCTCAGTCTTTTTGTACTTGTTGAGGGCTGATTTATGACCCAGTATGTGATCTATTCTGGAGAATGTTCCCTGTGTACTTGAAAAGAATATGTATTCTATTGCTTTAGGATGAAATATCCTAAATGTGTTTGTTAAGTCCATTTTGTCCAGTGTGTCATTCAAAGCCAGGGTTTCCTTATTGATTTTCTGCTTAGATGGTCTGTCCATTGCTCTAACTGGGGCGTTAAAGTCCTGTACTATTACTGTATTATTTCCAATGAGTTTATGTTATTAATTGATTTATATATTTGGGTGCTTCCCAGTGGGGACATAAATATTTAGTCATTAGATCTTCTTGATGGATAGACTCCTTAATTATGATGTAATACCTTTCTTCATCTCTTCTTCATGGTTTAAATTCTAGTTGTCTAGGGGTGCCTGGGTGGCTCAGTCAGTGAAGCGCCTGACTTTGGCTCAGGTCATGATATTGTGGTTCGTGGGTTCGAGCCCCATGTCGGGCTCTGTGCTGACAGCAAGCTCAGAACCTGGAGCCGGTTTCAGATTCTGTATCTCCCTCTCTCTGACCCTCCCCTGCTCACGCTGTCTCTGTCTCTCTCTCAGAAATAAATAAAAACATTAAAAAGAAATAAATTCTAGTTTGTCTAATACAAGTATGGCTACTCTGGCTTTCTTTTGACATCCATTACTATGATAGATAGTTCTCCATCCCTTCACTTTCAATCTGCATGGGTCTTTGGGTCTAAAATGAGTCTCTTGTAGGCAGCATATACATGGGTCTTGTTTTCCTTTTTCCTTTATCCATTTGGATACCCTATGTCTTTTAATTGGAGCATTTAGTCCATTTACATTCAGAGTGATTATTGACAGATATGAATTTAGTACCTTTGTGTTAGTATAATGTTGATGTTTTTAGTGATGTTATCTGTTCCTTTCTAGTTTTTGTTTCTTTTGGTTCTTTTTTCCCCAAAGAGTTCCCTTTGGTATTTCTTGCAGGGCAGGTTTAGTGGTCACAAACTCCTTTATTTTTTTTGTGGGGGCAGGGAACTCTTTATCTCTTTATTCTGAACAATAGCCTTGCTGTCTGAAGTATTCTTGGCTGCATATTTTTCCCAGTTAGCACGTTGACTATCTCCTACCACTGCCTCTGGCCTCCCTAGTTTCTGTGGACAGATCTGCTCCAAACTTGATCTGTCTTCCCTGGTAGGTTAAGGATGTTTTTTTAATATGTATATTAAAATAAAATAAATTTTAAAAAATTGCCTTTTCTGCATCCCAAGGTGTGGGGGTGGGCAGAAAATAAAAAAACACAAAGGAGGCTAGATCCTATTTCCCCTAGAGCTGAAGCTTTGTAGCACTCTGTGATCAGCTGACTTGGTGTGTGGGCGGGGTTTGTGCTGGTCTTCTGCGGGTGTGGCCTGCTGTGCTGATTCTCAGGTGGAGTTGCCCTAGTGGTGTACGCGGCTCTGGCCTCCACTTGGTGGCACTAATTTGTTCACCAAAGTCAGTCAGTCCTGATAGGTGGGGTGAAAATGGAGTTGTCCTGCTGTCCCATCTCCAGAGCAGGGAGCTCAAGCCCGCTGCTGTTCATGAAGCCCTCACAGAAGAACAATCACCTGTCTTGTGTCCCCGTTTCCACCAGGTCCCCGCCTTCACCCTGCCTGCCTCTGAGCTGTCAGCACAGCACTCCTGTATTTTATTTCAGGTGAACGGGTAGGTTTCAGAACTCCAAATTTTGGAGACCCATGCTGAGCGTTTGGGGGAGGGTCTCACTGCGCTGCGGCTGGGTCCAGCTTGTTCAGAAATCGGTTGCGCCACTGCTCAGCAGTTTGGAGTTTATGGTAAAGCGCAACAGAAAGCTGGTTCCAAGGCTTGCCACCCTCAGTTAGCATTCTTGTTCCTATGTTAGTGAACTGGTCAGCTCCGTGGTGCCTCCTGGGTCTTTTGTTCCCAGAGAGGCCATGCCA